AAAAAAAAAAAAAAAAAAAAAAAATTCTATTTTTTTAGCTTTGATGAGAGATAAAATTTTCTTTGCAAATTCTTGTATTTAGAACTTGCATGCTAGAGTCATTTAAGTGATATTGATCAAACCTCTTGTGGAGTGATTCAAATCACGAGCTTAGAAACGGGTTTGTTTTACTCTTGGCGATCAGAGGTCTAGACTTGAGAGCCCCAAATATTGAATTAGCCTTGAGAAGTTGGTCTTGAGCATCTTGGAAACATGAGTTGAAATCTAAACCACCTAGATGCCATAAGAACCTAGTAAACCTCGACGAAAAGGATTACTAAGAAAGCTTAACAGGCTTAATAGTAATGCGAACGGTGTCACGAAAACCTCGAGGACTACTCGAGTATTTCTTTTGCGTGCAAAAAGGGGTTAAAGGTGACCTCGTGATTCTGTAAACAAGTATTGAGTAGGAACTTAAGACTACACGAGTGGTTAATTCTTTTATTGTGTATAGAAATAGGTCAAGACTAACGTTTCGATCCCGTAAATCGGTATTGGAAATAGACTTGGGATTACACATGTAGTTGTTAGGATGTGTGTTTCTAATGTAGGGATGAGTCAAAGGTTAAGCTCACGACACCGTAAGTTCTGAAACGGGAATTGGGACTACCCAAATAGTTCACTCATAATCGTTGCTCCAAGAGTTTTCAAGGCCTCAAAATTTGTGTGGGGGAAAACATAACACTAATCAATTCAAATCGGGAATAATCTAATGTTTTAAATAGAATATAATTCAATTAGTTTTAAACAATTACACATTTATTACAAGGCTTTAAGACACGACTCCGGGTATGAATTACTTAGATTTCCATTCTTAAACACAAAAACAAAGTTCAAAGATGAATTTGAGCCCAAAAGTCATGTCTGGGTCAATCTTGACAAAGTTGCGAAAGGGAGGCACACCTTCAAAAGGCAATATTAAATGCACCAAATTAAGTTTTGTGATGTTTTATTAAATACACTCAAGTTTCAAGCCAGAGTTGAGTTTTTCAATTTATTCTTTTCAAATTAAACTTCCAAAATTTTATTAAGAATTTTAGAGGTGAATTTAAAGATTGTGAAAAAGAGAGTATTGAGAAAAATCTCAAAAACTCCCATATATATATATAATAATAATAATAATAAATCAGAAAAGTGATCAAATTCAACTGAAGGGATATTTTAGTTATTATGTGCCTAGCTTATTATGGAACCTATACTAAATAAAATAATGGAGTTAATTAGCAAAAAATAAAAGAAAGAAAGAAATTGAAAGAAAAATAAAGGATATGGGAGAAAAGGAAACCGAGGATAGAAAGAGAAGTAACTATTAGACACATTCTTATTCAACCTCGAAGAGTCCGATTCTAGCTAGGTTTTCTTTACCAAATCTTCACAGAATCTTGTGGAGGAGCACTTTGGACTCTTGAATCGTCCAAGACAATCAAGAATCATGGAAGAACATGTAGGTTTTCTAACTTTTTAGTTTCGGTACTTTAAAAGATCCATGAGATTATTTGGGAGTTTTGGTATGAGTTCTTTGATATGTTGATCTATAAGTGGTGCTATGCAAGATTTATGAAGAAACTTTGAAAAGATTCAAGCCGAAAGCTGGAGTATCGGTGGAGCCTCATGTTACGGTAAGAACATGTAACCGTCCAATTTTAGTTGTGAATATATTTGTATGTGGTTGATTTAAAATTATAAGAAAAATGTCTTTTTATAGACGGAGTAAAACTCTAAGATTTTGGTGAATGAACCAAGCCTATTTGAGTTTTTATGAGAAGTTATGACTCTAACAATTCGGTTTTGAGAAAAAAACAATAGCATTTAATCTCGCCGAAAATCATGCGATTTTCAGTTAGGCATTTATGTCACAACCCGATTTTCGAGGCTTCGAAAAATGAAATTGTGACTAAAAAGATGAAATCGAAAACAAACAAAAAGAAAAGAAAATAAAATAAAAAGAAGAGTGAAATAAAAAGATGAAAATCAAATAAAATTAAAATATTTCAAAAGATGATTTAAGTTTACAAAAAGGAAATAAAATACAAATATAAAAGAAATTCGCTAAAGACTCCAAAAGACCGAAAAGGGACTGACGCTCCGGAACGACCCCCTCTGTGACCGCATAGCTCTCGAACGCTCCTCCACCTCGACCGGCACCTGACAACAAACTAGAAAGGAATGAGTATAAAAATTATACTCAGTAAACCACCTACTTGTAGGCTCTCTTCGCATCTTCGTTTAACAGAATTCCCACGGTTTCCTACTTCGGTTCTAGGACATTTGGTTCTAATCTTAGTCCCTTGGGGCTTGCCCCTTGGGTTTCACCGGTTCGTCGTCCTTTCATTAAATGCCTAGGGGTTTCTTACGTCAAGCTAATATGGTTGGTATCTCTCTATGAGGCGCTACCTCTACATGGCTATCTGGGACTACATGGTACCTAGCCTAGGGGTGTGCTGAATACCCCTACGCCCATATAGTCCCCCTATGGGGGGCGCGACCCAACCCGTTCCCATGCAACTAATGGGCTGTACGACGTGGTGACACATTTCTCATGCGAAATGGCTAAGAGCAGTAAGGACTGATTAGGGACCCTTGGTCCTCCCATGAAGCTATAGATACCGTTCTCACGCTAGCAATCTATGAACACTCCGAGGTACTTTCTTGCCGTGGTGAACCGCTAAGTTCCTAGGGGAAAATTAAGTCTAGCTGGAGCGACATATCACTCCTAACAGTAATTTCCTAAACTTATCATAGAAATGGACCCTAGCAATTAACAAAGTGCGTATGCAATCCTCTTCTAACATCATACTATATAATTCATGCAAACTAGGCATATCGGCTCAACGGGGTGATGACCTCCATCAAGCACCTAGAGCACGAAGTTCGCGCTCAATGGGGCGAAATCCTCCATCAAGCACCCGGATCACGGAATACACAATTCCATCATAAATTAAACGCATGGATACATACAATGAAAGCTTAAAGCATACAGCAATACTCATGTAATTTTCACCCAATACAATCATAACAGTTAATCTGTCCAATAATTTACATGGAGAGCTAATCTGAAACAAAACTACTAGCATGCATGCAATCCAAGCGAATCCTACAAGTATTTCTTCCTAAATACCGGGTGGTGACTTACCTGGTTGATGCGTGCCCTTTTTGCTAGCGTTTCTTTGCCCGTGAGGTGTCCAAAAATACTGATTTCTTTAAATTAGGTCCTTATTCACGTAAAAACAGTATTAGAACTGGAATCGGGACAAAAATCGGGCAAACAAAAAGCAACGGGCCACATTCGCCGTTCCAGGTGCCAGCAGCGCGCTCGGAGTGTATGGTCACGCGCGCGGGAAGGCGCCAGTCGCAGGTTGCAAGCGCGCCCGCTTCCGCGTAGTCGATGGGGTCGGCCGGTCAGGTCCGGTCCAGTCGGCTCGGCTCGCATTTGTGGTTCGGCCCGGCCCGCAAGCGACACGTGTCGTCACCTCGCTGGAGCTGCGTTGCTCCAGCCGGCGGTCGACGCATGTCCGGCGACTGTCGCCGCCCTCCGCCGCTTGCCGGCCGACCCCCCTTCTTTTATTTTTTTCTTTCTTTCTTTCTTTCTTTCTTTCTTTCTTCTCTGTCCTCTGAAATCCGTAACACCGGTCCACTTTCCGATTTTCATATCTTTTGATTCATCGACAAAGTTCGGATCGATATTATTTCTTCGACAAAGTTCTAGATCGTGTTACGGGCTATGTCCTAGTATTTTTTTGTAATTTTTTGCTTGACTACTGGACGAGTTAAGAGCGTCGGAAGTTCGCTCACCATTTTAGGAACCAAACTTTTTCACAGATCATGCGTAGAGTTGTTCCTAGATGAATATATCAAGATTTCAGATCTTGATACACAAAGGAAAACCGTAGATTTGAGAAAACGTTCAAGATTCTTATCTTGAGGGTTTTCCGATTTCTTGATGAAAAATGGGACTCCGGCCACCCATATTCTCTTTTCCCTTCCAAGAAAGTCTCCCTGCATCATGATCTTCACCGGAATAAACTCCGACGGTAGTTTTCGGTGAGTCTTCCAGCGGTTCATCCTTTCTCCTCTGTCTAGATTCTCTCTATCCCTTTCTCTCACTATTTCTCTTTTGCAGGACTCTAGATCTGGATGGGGTTTCATTTGGACCCCTTAATGGTTGGAGGGGCAAACTTACCTATTTGCCCCTCTCTCGACTTTTCTTCTTTTTTTTCTTTTTTCTTTTTCCATTTCTCTTTCTTCGGGTATTACCACTACAACAAATGATAGATACGATAGCTTACGAAAAATGCTATCATAGACTTTTTATAGCGTTTTTCGTATGTCGTGACAGACCATGTTATTAAAAGTCAGAGACTTTTTATAGCATTTTTTAGAGCTATAATAGATGCTATAATAGAATGACGTTTGATAGCATTTTTTTATAGCTATAATAGATGCTATAATAGAGTATAAATTTATAGCTTATAAACGTTGCTACAAAAATATTTTATAGCGTTTTATTGAAGCTATATATAACTTTAAATTAATGCTATAATAAAATTAATTATTCATTTATAATCATTATAGTTACCATAATCAAATTTTAACAACATTTTTTAATAAAATTTAATTCAAATACTAAATAAACACATAAGATACTCATAGCATATTAAATACCATGACTTCCGTTCATAATTGAGATTTCATAATCTATTTCCATTACAAGAGTAGTATTCCATCATTTCCTAAAATAAAGTTATACAAACTATACAAGATAAAATATTCTCCACTACTTGCAATGATTTTCAAGGAACCGTTATCATGTCACGACTTTGAAGTGCAAGTCCTCTATCCCAAAATCATCTATTGACAGAAAAAAAAATAATAGGCAACCTGAACCAACTCTAGATACAACTATTCTGGACTATTCAACATTAGCAACAAAGAGACGATCCCCTAATAGGACAGCAGTTGACCCGACATCTTTCTGCTGGCCTCTATCTTCTTTAATATAGTTTGCATGTTTAAAAACCTCTGCTGCAAAATAAGTATTTGCTTAGTTTATGCTCCACTTGTCAGGCAACAGGAAAATATGAAATCATAGGCACAAATTATAACTTCTTACTAATAGCTGTCTTTGTGTCTTTGATAAAGGCCCGATGGCTACTTTGGTTATTGAAAAGATTGCGCTTAAGGTATCCAGTTGTTCTTGACCCAAGTACATCAATGTGTCTATTAAACTGGAGAAAAGAAGGAGCGTCCATGCATCACACTGGAAAGCTATCATATCGAGTAACATCATCTCCGATATTTCCAGAATTACCATTAATGTTAAAACAAACAAAAAGTAACTTATCATTCTTCCATCACAGGTATCATCATTCTAAATTATAGAACAACACAACAATAATGATCAACAAAGAGTAAAAGGAGAAACATAAAAAGAAAAGGAAAAGTAACCTGCTCATAAGCGGAGAAGAAGATCCATTCAGGAAAATTATCCCCACATAATTTCTTTAAATCATCTCTACTAAGAAATTATGACAAGACAATGATTGCATCCTTACCGATGATGATGAAGCAAGGTCTTCTATATTGAGTAGTTTTGCAAGTCTAAAGTCCCCTGTGCAGAAATTCAAGATATTAGAAGAAATAACTAGTAAAGAAATTCCATCCGGTAAAAAATGGAAGCCATCGTACCAAGCTGGACATCATTGCTCTTTGCAAGAAACATATTGAAACACTAGAATAGAAGAAAATTTGAAAAAACAAAAAAATCAAGAACCATTAATGAGTTGGGTATGTTAATACATTATAGGTACCTTAAGATCTTTTTGTAGCACCCGATTGGAGTGTAGATAAACTACAGCTCAGCTAGTAACAACTATGCCAACTATTTGCAAACTTTCTGAGATAAAAAAAATTGACAATTAGAAAAAGATAATCACAGTTACAAACTTACTCAAGAAAGTATGTTCCTCTGACATTTTCTATCAATTCAGACCTGCTCAACAAAAGAAAACACGGCATAGGATTAGGCTTGAGTTTTCTTCCCATCCCTTTGTCCTCTTCACTACATCTGAAAAACTAGTTTATCGATTCAATCCATATTGAACTTCCACAAAATGTTCTAACTTTTGTTCTTCACTTAGTTATAATTCTTTGGAGGGAAAATTGAAACACATTGTTATAAAGGTGGCCTATTTTTTTTATTCAATCTAAAAATAAACAACCATTGAAGGTCATAAATGAAGCAAACTCCAAAAGGATGGAAAATTTAAATAAACATCACTTACATGTCTCCACCTTCTATTCACAGTAGCAAGTTACAATGCATATATAATCCCCCTACACAAACGGCCTTTTTACCAGATCAGTGAGGGTAACAACTATGAGAAGGAGAAAAGGAAGAAAGGAAATAGAAGACTTTGTAGCCTCATGAATAGGTGTAGTTTCATTCTGATACTAATCACCGACAACACGCTTTCTAGGGGGCACCATGTGCTTCCACTCCTCAGTGTTATCGCTTTAATCATGCATACATTCCGAGTTTAGTTCAATGCGTTCTTCTAGATTAAGCATATTTAAACTCCAATTAATCAATCTAATCATACAGACAAATTTCTCCCAAATGCCCCAAATGCCTGAAATTTAGGGGTATGAATAAATAATTGATATAACTAAATAATGAAGTCTTTTAAAATGAAATAGTTCAGTAAGAAATAATACCACTTTAATTTGGTCCTCTAATCGGAGGAAGTAGTACATTCAATAGTTTAAGTTCATCCTCTTGTTCTACCATAATATTACAGCATCACTCAAGTAGCAGAAAATGAAAGCGAGAAAGATGACAAATTAGACCAATTAAGAGAAACAAAGTGTTTAAATTTGTCAAAAGTATAGTTTTAGAACTTCAATTAGTAAGGATGATATGTTGATATATTGAAACAAACATGGGAAAAACCATGCCCACAAAATTGGAAGATCTATTAAAGTATAACTCACAAAGTTGAAAAGAGCCTTAGCTCCCCAAGTTGGTGCCATGAGTGAAACAAATTCTACAAGGAAAATAAACAACAACAAAATTATGTGAGAATTACCCCCTGAATTTAACTAAATCTCTTAAATTAATCAAAATGCTAGAAATCAAAAGCATCATCTCCAAAACTGAATATCCAAATTAATTGAGAAAATGCAGGGACCGAAACAGAGAGAACCAAACATCAAAACATAGAGAAACCTAAACCCTAGAACAAAAAGGAAGAAGTATCAATCCAAATGTTTAAGAAATGAGAAACCTAGATGCAAATCCACTGTGCTCATTCTCGTTTTAAAATGTAGGGTATTATGTACTCCTCCTTTAGGGCACAAATATTAAACTATGCTCAATAGATTAAACAGACATGTGAATGCTAACCTCGATTAAGAGCTTTTTCATTTGGCCCAAATCAGTGACATTGACATGAGGATAGAGCAAAGACGAAGTTGGATGCCCGACAAAAATGGAATACAAAAGGAAGAAAGAGATGAAATACATGGGTTATAACTCCAAATCCATAGATTATGGAAAAATGGAGCATAAGGGGAAGAGAGGAAATTGAGAGAAAAAAAAAATCTAGCCTCGGCCTGTAAATTACGACAAAAAGAAGGGAGGAAGAGAGAGAAAATAAAGAGCTCACTATTTTAAAAAATATATCTAGCTTTTTTTTTATTATTATTATTTTATTTTGTGTCAGCTTTTTTTATTTATTTTGTGTCCCCCTTTTTTTTTATCATTTTTTTATAGCATGTTTTAGTAAATGCTATCTTCAAAAGCTATAGAAAGGGTAATTTGTTGTAGTGTACAATTTATTTCATATTCAAAACTATTCCCCTAACCCTTTAAATTTCTCTATGCTCAAACCTCCGAATCGTCATATGATAGTTTTGTTTTTCTGTACTTTTCAACCGAGATCGAGAAAGAAAACAGAGAGGGTTTTGAGAAGAAAATCGTGGGTTTCTATTTCGCAAAGAACTTTGTATTCAATGTTTATTTTTTGGGTTAAAAACATAAGGGTATTTCGAAAGTGTTGTACTAACCTTTAGAAGGAAAACCCTTGTGGAGGCATGAAAGAATGTCATCGGAATCATTAGTACTCTCGCCGAAAAAAAGAGACGGGAATCGCAAGGATTTTCAATCTGTTTTCAGGTGAAGAAGATGGGTTGATGGGCCAGTTATTTTGGATTCAGATTCATGTTTCAAACCCACGACTCCAACCTCGGCTCACAAGTCCCAAGCCCAATTTGCAGCTCACTCCAATCCGCCTAGAAATTACGGCCCAAACACAAAACCATTTTTTTTTGGTCTAATGTCACGCAACCCATACACGAAAACCATAACCTGAGTTTGTGACTCGACAGTCGTGTTGTCCTCGACGCATGCGTGCATGTAATCTCGACTCGACTCGACGATTCTTGACTAGACTTCAACACGTCATCAACTCGATTTCGTTGTTTTGCGAGGCTCAACTGCGTCGTGTACATGAAGATCATGCATCCCCACCTTGCCAAGCTCGATCCCAGAGGGTTGAAGGTCGTCTTCATCGACTACAAACCTAGGAGAAGGACATACAAGCTCTATGATCCTGTGGGTGACTAAGCTCACGTGTCGCGCGATGTTGTCTTCGACGAGAACACCTTCTAGCAATGGAACAACGTGGACGAGGCATACCAAAACCCAGAACAATTCACAGTAGAGTACTTCATCACCGAGCCAAGAGAAGGAGGAGCACAGCACCGGGAACTCTCAACGTCGCCGACAACTGCACTGGGCACGCCTACACCAACACCGGCCATAACTCCTGATGCACCCCTTGAACCAGTGCAGTTCATAGCACCACAATGATGGTTTAGCGGCGCGCGAGTTTGAAGAAGAGGTGTCGAATTGCATGCCATCAGCGCAGATGAATTGAACTCTTTCCCCGTAGCAGAGAAGAACTCGTGCTGGCTGAAGGCAATATAGGAAGAGATGACATCCATCATTGAAAACAAGACGTAGAGTTTGGAGGATATGTTGTCAGGACATCGAGCCATAGGGCTCAAATAGGTGTTCAAGCTGAAGCGTAACGAAGAGGGAGAAGTTGTGAAGCAGAAGACCCATCTGGTGGCGAAGGGCTACGTCCAGAAGCAAGGGGTGGACTTCGAAGAGGTTTTCACGCCAGTGGCAAGGTTGGAATCCATCGACCTGTTGCTAGCAATCGCTGGACATCACTCCTGGGTGGTCCACCACATGGACGTGAAGTTCGCTTTCCTCAACGGAGAGCTGAGGAGACCATCTATGTCCGATAACCACCTGGCTTCATCAATAACGACAACCCCAGCAAGGTACTACATCTGCACAAGGTTCTCTAAGGGCTTTGGCAAGCACCACGACCCTGGAACAAGAAGCTCGATAGTACCCTATTGTCGCTTAAGTTAAAGCGTTGTGCCTCTGAGCATGGGATGTAGACGTGCAACCACGGCGAGCAGCGGTTGATCGTAGGAGTGTATGTCGACGATCTCTTAATCACTAGACGCAACATGAAAGTTCTTGGAAGATTCAAGAGGGAGATGTTAAAGATCTTCAAGATGAGCGACCTTGGCGCGCTCAGCTACTGCCTCGACATCGAAGTGCAGCAGAGTACTAGCGACATCACCATTTGTCAAGGTGCTTATAAGAAGAAGCTACTAGACACGAATGGGCTAGCAGATAGTAACCCTACAAGGACGTCAATAGAGGTCTGGCTCCAACTAAGGAAGACCGGTACTATGTCAGCGATCGAGACCACCAATTACCGTAGCATTGTCGGGAGTCTGTGCTATCTGGTAAACACACGTCCTGACCTCGCCTATTCCTTGGATATGTGAGTAGGTTTATAGAAGCACTAAGGGAGGAGGATCTTGGGGCTGTCGAGCGCATCCTGCAGTATGTGGCTAGAACAAGAGCTTGGGGTGCGAGATATTGTGTAGGGAGAGGAAGAAAGAAGCTTGAGCTAGTCGGCTACAGTGATAGTGACATGGTAGATCACGTTGATGATTGTAAGAGAACCAGTGGGATGATTTACTTCCTCTCAGGCGGCGCGATTTAATGGCAATCAACTAAATAGAAGGTAGTTGCTCTGTCTTCTTACGAAGCAGAGTACATCATCGCTTCGACAGCGGCCACACACGGGGGTCTGGCTTGCGCGACTAGTGGACGAGATGATCAGAAGAGAAGGCGATCCACAATTAGTGTATGTGGACAACAAGGCTATGATTTCCTTGATCAAAAACCCAATTTTTCACGACTGGAGCAAGCACATAGAGATCAGATTTCACTACATCCGGGAGTTTGCAGATCGAATGTTAGTTATAAACTTGTCTTCTTTTTTTTTTTTTTTTTTTTTTTTTT